CTGGCGCAGGAGCCCTTCACATACTTCCCGAAGACGGCATCATAGTTCGCGTTGGAGCGGGCCTTTAGCGCCTTTTGCGCGGCCTCCTTGTTCTCCGGCTTGCCCAACCAAGTGACGATGCATGTCTTCTGCAGTGCCTTGCCATAGGAGAAGGAGAGATGCCACGGAAGGTTCGGGTAGAGCTTGTGCATGGTGCTGAGGTTGATGGTAGCCTCCTCCTCGTTGTCCTCGTTCAGGGCCGTCTCACCCGAGAGGAAGAAAATGCCTGGCATGGCCACCGGCACCGTGCGCAACAGCGTCTGCACTGTGAGTTTGGCAATGGTCTCGGCACTGGCCTTGGGACCTTTGAGACCGTTCTTGACCATGTTGGGCTTCAACACGGCACCCTCCAAGTAGATGTGGTGGTCGGCGAGGGCCTTAAACTGGGCCGACAACACCTTCTCCGTCATCTGGCAACAGTAGTCAATGTCGTGGTCTCCATTGGGCACGATCTCGGGCTCCACGATGGGCACCAAGCGCTCACTCTGGCAGATGGACGCATAGCGTGCCAGCGTGTGAACGGTGTCCATGATGGCCAGGTCGCTCGGCAGGCCTTTCTTGGGATCAAGCTGGAGCACATTGCGCCATTTGGCGAAGCGGGCCCCTTTCTTGTAAGCCTGCGCGCAACGCTCCTGAAGGTCATCCAGGCCTTTGGTGGAAACCTCTGGATGTCCCAAGGGCCCAACCTCCGTGCCCCACATGCCCTTCTTGTCGTAGGCCTTGTCCACCTTGATGCCGGGGATCATGCCGTTGCCTGTGATGATGTCCACCATCGGCTTACCACTGGCATCGTCCTGGAAGAGGGTCTCCCAGTGGAGGATGACGCCACTGATGTACTCGCTGAGTCCTGGGGTGGAGAAGCACATGGAGCGGTAGGCGGCCCGGTTCTCAATGACATCCGGGATCTTTGCCGCCTCTGCATGGCCGGCACGGAGCCATGGTCCAGCTGACTCGTCGGCGGCCAAGAACCCCTTGCCCGGAGCGCACAGCTTCGTGGCTGTCTCCTTCAGCTCGGCCAGGACATCCGCGGGCAAGTTGGCCATGGCTGCAAGTTCTAGATCAGGTACAGGCAGTTTGAACAAGACCTCGGCCGCGATGATGATTTCGGGATGATGGGAACGGCGGGAGCACGTGAGCAATTGAAGCAATCCTGGTGCCCATCCATGGGCTTATCAAGCCATTCAGCCCTGCAGACCCAACCCTCCTCGGCAACCAAAACATGTAACACAAAACAAAAGCAGTCGCGCCTGGCACGTTCCTCGGCCGTGCCGAGGATCCAGGCTTGCTTGGTCTCGGAATCCTTCGGCTTCGGCGGTTTCGGGTTCAGGGGAGGGGGGCCTTCATAGTTACAATACGGCTTTGGGGCCCAATTTGGGGCCCATTATACTATATATTTATAATAAGCTTCATAGTTAGAATAGGGTGTTGGTGCCATTATACTATATATTTATAGTAAGGAACCCAAAGATTTGATTTAGTTTGGGTGTTAGGGCCTGTTCGGGGGTTGGGCCTGTGGTCCTGCCGCCATCACTTACACCATGCTAGCTGCCAAAACAACATGCCCAGTACTCCACATACAAAAGAAGATCCTGAACTTCTAGCCCCAAACCCGAAAACTCTAAACCCTTTTGCAGCGGGCTTGCCTCGACGCCCGGGGAAACCCTAAACCCTAAACCCTAAACCCTATACCCTAAACCCTAAACCCTAAACCCCTCTAGTCCGAACCTGAACGGCATTGTGGTGGGAAGGAGATGCGCCAGAATAGCCATGCCAGGAGACCTTTTTTAGGGGGGCCTGTATGACTAAACTAGGGCTTGGGTCATACGATACTATAAATGTAATGAGGTTTAGGGTTTACGCTCTCACAACTCGGACTAGCCAACGATGGTATTGGTAATTGCTTAGGCGGCTACATTACAGCTCAAACATCAACAAACCCTTACCCCATGAGCCCTCCAGAGAGGAGAGAGTTTCAGAAAACACAGAAAGAATACTATAGACATCTTCAAACCCTAAGTGGTAAGTCCCTGGGTATGAGGACTCCAAGATACCAAATCCCAGATGCGAAGAGCCCTCTCTTAAAGGAAACTACAGGTGGGGAGTTTAGGGTATATAGTGCTTCTATAAGGCTACCATAAGGTATATAAACCGTCTATAAGGCTCCTATAACCGTTACTACCCACCTGAAAATGTCCTAGACTAAACCCTAAACCCTAAACCCTAAACCCTATAAACCCTATAAGCCCTATAAACCCTTGGGAAAATAAATGCGAGAGGGAAAATAAACCCTAAACTCTAAACCCTATAAACCCTGGACTCTCAGGTCCCTCGTCTCCTTGGCCATGTACTCGAAGCTGCATCCGGAGATGCTGGCGATCTTCATCTTCATCGCACCGCCTTCTGCAGGAGTTCGAAGGCATCTGAGCCCTAAACCTGAAACCCAAACCCACTCATGTAGAAGCCTATAAACAATTACCGATATTATTTTGGGGGGTTCGTCATTACATTTATATTATAAAAAGAGCCCAAAGCCCTATTCGAATTATGAAGGCCCCTATATTCAGCCCTACCTTGCAGGGGAGCAAGCTAGTAATATAGGGGCCATAGATAATTACCCCTACTATTTTGGGGGCTCCTCATTATAAAGATAGTATAATATACACCGAAACCCTATTCTGATTAGTAAGGCCCCTAAACCCTAAACCCTTATAGTAGCCCTTATAGAACCCTTTCAAGGAGCCCCCAAACCCTATTCTAAGTATTAAGGCCCCATGCACTACTGCTGACTTGCCTCCCTGTCATGAAACCCCAAACCCGGGATGTTACAATGGTTTGGGGGCTTAGGTTTTAGGGCTTTGGAGTTCAGGGTTTAGGGCTTTGGGGTTCAGGGTTTAGGGGTTTGGGATTCAGGGTTTAGGGCTTTGGGGTTCAGGGTTTAGGGGTTTGGGGTTTAGGTGCTCAGGGTTTAGGGGTTTAGGGGTACAGGGTTTAGGGGTTTGGGGTTCAGGGTTTAGGGCTTTGGGGTTCAGGGTTTAGGGGTTTGGGGTTCAGGGTTTAGGGCTTTGGGGTTCAGGGTTCCGGGCTACGGGATTCCAGGGTTGAGTATTGAGGGATTAGGCTTAAGGCTCGACGACTCTACAGGTCTCTGGGTGCCAGGGTCTCTGGATAAGGGTCTCCATAATTAGGATTTGTATAAGGGTCTCTATACGTAGGAGTTCTATGAGGGTCTCTATGATTAGGATTTGTGTAAAGGTCTCCATAGTTAGGATTTCTATACGAGTTTTTATAATTAGGATTTGTATTAAGGGTGTCTTTAAGGCTCTCTGAAGCTTGATAGTTTCAAGCTTAGGGCTGTATAGGAAGGTGGTTTTTGGGGGAAGGAAAGGGCAGCCCCTTGAAAGCGTCAGAACAGCTTGCATGCCTGGGGTTCAAAAGTCCAGAGACTCCAACATCGCTTAATTAAGGAATATACCTTAAATCATATTTGGGATCCTACTATAATTTAAGGAATATATTCCTTAATTAAGGAATAGCGGAGTCTCTGGGAGGCATGTTGTCTACAGTGTAACTGCAACTCGTTTTCATGTTGGAATCATCAGTTCAGTAGACGCTTTGTTTCGGTGCGCGCCCTCGGACCGTCTAAGCGAGGCATGTGTGCATGGGGCGATGGGGTGAAAGCCAGGAAGCTGGCCAGAGGTTAGTTCAGGGGTTGGGATTTCAAACTCTGCTTACATACTTCCATATACACGCCTCTGAGGAGAAACCTCCTAAACCCCAAACCCGGCCCTAAACCTGCTATGATGCTCTGGCGCCTTTGCCAATGAGCTTGGCCAGGGTGCCGTCCGACGGTGTCAGCTCCTGTGGCAAGAGGTGGGCATTCGGTGGAGGGTTTACGGTTTAGGGATTTACCCATAAGGCCCCATAGTAGTTCCCTTTTGGGATTACCTTCTAGGATTCCAAACATGAACCCCAAACAGGAACTACTATGGGGCCTATGGGTAACTTGGCCCCATAGTAGTTCCCTTTTGGGATTACCTTATAGGATTCCAAACATGAACCCCAAAAAGGAACTACTACTGAGGGGCTGAGTACCCTAGCCCAAAAAAGGTTAACCTTCCGAATTATACTAGGATTATATAAGCATTATAAGCCCCCAAAAGGTCAAAGGTTACCTACTCAACCCCTAAGACTATAGGGCCTATGGGTAACTTGGGTTTCGAAACTTGAAGGCAGGGACTGCAGGCATGGAGTCTCCGCCCCAGTTGGCTCACAGGTCAAAAATGGCTGGAGTTTTCACTTCTACGGAATAGGGTTTAGGGTTTAGGGTTTCGGGTTTAGGGTTTAGGGTTTAGTTTGAATGAGGAGCCGAAGTCAAAGATTGGCAGGTCAGCGCATCTTTGCCCAGAGTTTGATAGGCAACTCCAGCATGCAGGGATTTAGCTGTGACTGTGACATAGAGAACTGCGGCCAGTGTCGCTACTTGTTACTTGTACTGAAGAACCGGCCCTAAACCCTAAACCCTAAACCCTAAACTGAACCCCGATACAAGAGACCATCTGAGCCGAAACCCCAGGGTTCGCGATCCGACCTTGCAATCCCCATACCCCGTGTTGACCTATTAGGCCCGGAAAATCACACCTTTTGTAGATCCCTATAAAAACAGCCATGCACCCAAAACAACAAATAACCTAGAAGGATGAGCAACTGCCGCTAGACCGAAAGCCTAAGCCCGACAACTCCAAGCCCAAAGCCCTAAAACCCTCAACGGTTTTGGGTTTTAGGGCTTAGGGTTCAAAACCCCTCCCGGATCAGTCCATGATACCGATACCGACGCCAGGGCCCTCATCGGAGGCGCGTGGGTTCGCCAGGCAATGGCCGGGAGCCTCCCATTAAGTTAGAGTTTAGGGTTTAGGGTCTAGGGTTTAGGGTTGAGGGTCTAGGGTTTAGGGTTTAGGGTTTAAGGTTTAGGCGCTTTTTTTGCCTCCTACATAGCAAGGACGAGCCCGCATTGCAGGGTAATGCCTGTGGCTTTGACTAGGCACTGCTAGGGTTCAGGGTTGAGGGATCCTTGTCATAGGGGCCCTCAAGCGGACCTGAACATGAACTTCCCTCCCAAGGCTTCAACTGCCTATGTTTAGGTGCTTGCTTGGGTCAAGCAATTTGGGTTTAGGGTTCTAGGGTTTAAGAGAAGCTACCACGATGGGGGTTCTGGTGAATTAAATTCTGCATCCTAATTGTGGAACTTGGTTGAAAGGCTACCACAACAGGGGATTTTAGTAGACAACATATGCTTTCCGCACGCTAGGCAACTCGGAAAAGGCTAAGTTCCTGAAGCGCAAGGTCGCGGTTTTGGGGTTTGGAATGTGCGGATTTCTGTATTCCCCAAACTTCCCTAAACCCTACTCCCCTCTAGGCTCACCACAAACCCTAAGCTGTAGGAGAGTCCCGACTCGCCACGAGAAGCATACCTGTTAGTGAGACGCCCATGTCGGATGCTGAGGGGATTGTGTTAGCATCCTGAAAGATGCTTACGAGGTATAGGGCCTCGGTGGCTGTTAGGGTTGCAGAAGTCGAGGAGTTGATGCTCCATAGAACGACATGCATACGGTCAAGTAGCCTGTCGCGAGTGTTTCGACCAGAAGTTGCGTGTGCCTGCAGCTTCCCGACAGTAATGGGTAGCTACCCACAAGTTTGGCAACACTAAGCGGCTGGGTCCTTGATCGTGGGCTTCGCGTTTCCGCTGCCAGGACTGAATACCCGAAGAGCATATTCTAAGCCTACCTAATCATCAAGGTGCCGCAAAATATCGAAGGACCGATGGGGTGGTCGCGGACTTTATGCAAAGGTTTCGGAAACCGGACCCGGTAATTACATGGACATCGCAGATGCCGTATCTCGACTGACACTGCCATATCCTTTGAAAGCTAGGTTATAGGCCTCAATATCCTAAACCGCTATGAGCACGAGGATGCAAGCCCCAAAAAACCGTCGCAGAGCCCTCAACCTAGACACCCATGAGACCCCAAACCGCACAAACAAGAGACACTGTCAGTGTGCTATGAGCTAACTGGATTTACGGGCCCTTGCAGGAGTTTTATAGAACCGTTTTAGGGTTTAGGGTTTAGGTTCATAGAACCGCTATACAACCCTGGTATCTTTAAGGGTTCTATGAGGACAAACAAATTTTGGGTTTAGGGACTTAAAAGGTTCATTTCTGGCCGCATGGATGGCGATCACAAAGTCAACCCTTTCCATACAGGAGCTATCAGACTGGGGACAACTGATGCCTAAACCCCTCTATAACCCAGAGACTCCAATATCCCTTAATTAAGGAATATTCCTTAAATTATAGTAGGATCCTTAATATGATTTAAGGCATATTCCTTAATTAAGGGATATTGGAGTCCCTCTGCAAGCCCGCACCCACAAACCGTTGGCCACGGAACCGGCGGTGTCGCCTTGGCCTCGATTCGGTTCATCGTTCGCAGCTCCACCTGCAACCAAAGCAACCCCAAAGAAAGCGTCTTGGCTCAGGGTTCTCAGAGACGCCAATATCCCTTAATTAAGGAAGAAACCCTGGTTTCGGGTGTAGGGGTTCTATAACTGGGTTCCTTTAAGGGTTCCAGGGGTTTAGGGGTTTAGGGTTCTCAGAGACGCCAATATCCCTTAATTATAAGGAATATACCTTAAATCATATGAAGGATCCTACTATAATTTAAGGACTATTCCTTAATTAAGGGATATTGGAGTCTCTCTTGAAGGTTTGGGGGCTTAGAAATCGCGGCTTTCTTGCGTGAGGGCAGACCCAGGGCGTAAGCCTTGGGCTGCTCAGGCTTCATACCCAGCGACTCCACTATTCCTAAATTACGGAATATTATTCCTTAAATTATAGTCGGATCCCTAATATGACTTAAGGTATATTCCTTAACTCAGGGATATTGGAGTCTCTGGAAAAGTACCTCAGCGCTTAAGCATGTGTGCGGAGTGGCTTTGGCACTGTAGACAGGCAAGGGCGTGGAAAGGATAACGTTAAACCCTTAACCCTTACCCTAGACTTCGCTTCCTTTATCCTAAACCCTAAGTTAGTGAGGGTTTAGGATCTAGGGTATGAATCCTACACCCAAAGCCCTATATTGAAAACCACTAGCTATGGGCTTCAGGATTAAGGTTTCGAACTACAACACGTGCTGTCAAACTCCCCAGGCTCGATACCATCGTTTGAAGCTCGAAGTTCGAAGACGCAAGCTGGAGGTATGTGCGGCAAGGCTTTCCGAACCTGTATCTTCTGGTGGGGTATGTTGTGAATGCCCAGAACTGTTCACAATCTGCTGAATCTGCAGCTTTAGCTAAGGGATCATGGAAAGGTTGCACAGTAAAACTTTCATGGTGAAGGCAATATATAGTGGGAGCTGTGAATTTGGCATTGGAGCTCATCTTGGTCTGCAGTATAACCCACTGTTCAGCCTGTTCACCAACATCCACACAGACCTTGCTTCAACATCCACACAGACCTTGCTTGAAAGACATCCCTGCTGGACTTGTACTTGCGTCTATGTTGGGCAAATCACCTCGGACCAAACGTCACTGTAACTGTACGTAGTTGCCCTAATATTGGGGCATTAATACTTCCAATTAGGTTTTGGTAGTATAGTATACCCCAAAACCCTGTTCGAATTATTAAGGCCCCTATATTACTCTCAGCCCTTTGCTTGCAACACCCAAACCCTAAACCCTAAATCCTAAACCCGTGAACCGTAGAAGTAGCGATAGGCTTGCAAGTACCTCGAGTCTTGGCCGAAGGAACCCGATCACCAGCAGCTTCTCCTGCATGGATTTAGGGTTTAGGGGTTTAGGGGTTTAGGGTTTAGGGTTTAGGGATTAAGGTTTAGGGTTCCGAAACCCTGAAACCATACCCGAAATCCTACGGAAGGATGCCAGCGTGCATGGCATAGTCTATTTGACACCCAAAAAGACCCACCCCAAACTCGGAAAGAAACCCATGGCACCTTTCAGGAGAACTCTATAGGGTTTAGGGTTTAGGGTGTAGGGTTGAGCCATCACATCTTCTGAGCCCCCGGTCGAGCCTAGGCCTCCATCCTCAACCCAACACGCCCTCAAACCGAACCCTAAACCCTAAACCCTAAACCCTAAACCCTAAACCCTAAACCCAATGTGGCACGCCCTTAAACCCTATAAACCCTATAAACCCTTAACCCTCAACCCCCAAACCCTCACCTAACCCGACCTCCCTCTAAACTCTCTCTCTCTCTCTCTCTGTCACTCAGAGGCATTTGAAATGTAATGTCAAGCCTGGCAGCCGGACGCAGATGGTCCCGCGTGATACTGAGGATGATAAGAACTTGAAGCTGTCGTCCCCGCACTTAAAGCCCAAGAATCCGGTGTGCAACCCCCGACCTAGGCCCAAAAACCCAAACCCCAGTCGGCAAAATCCTAACCCCCGAACACAAACCCTGAACACCCCCCCTTAATGGGGACCCTATTCTAGAACCCCCCTTTACTGGGGACCCTATTATAGAACCCCTAAACCCTAAACCCTATTATAGAACCCCTAAACCCTACACCCCCAAACCCGGTCCGGTGGCTCGGGCGGTTCCTCGGGCTTCACTTTGACCTCCCGGGAAGCTTCTTGTTGGTGGGTGTAAGGGTACTATAAAGGTGTACGGTTTCAGGTTTAAGTCTTAAGGGGTTTAGGGTTCTATAATACTGTATAAGAGATATTTGAAGGCTCAAGCCGCGAAGCCAAAATCTGAAAGCCCTATATACCCTAAACATCCCTCAATCACTCCTTAAAAAATCCCAAGAGCGTCAAGCTTAAGGTTTAGGACCCTAAACCCTACACCCTTAAACCCCTAAACCCTGAAGCCCTAAACCCTGAACTCCTAAACCC